GATTCTGTTCGGGAACAGCGTCGTTAACCATATTCACAGTTCTGACAGATAAACAGCCGTAGAAATGCTTCAAGGTCGCTACGCGGTAAACCGACAAGGAGTATTAGACTGGACAATGGATTTGACCATAATGGTAGAGTTCTCCGAACGATATACTTTTTTACGACATAGTCCGGTATTTAACTTTGGCAAATTTTTATGAAGGTCTAACCGCATGCCCACCTCGCTTGGGTTTCTCTTTCTCACCCTCAATAAATAGATTCGCAGTTACACAAAGTCTCTTGGCCATAGTTACTCTTCACGTAAAGTTTTAATTGTTAAAACAATATTCTTCTAATACTCATCAGGCATGGTGGACGTCAAGTAGACTTTTTGGGACCCCACGGTCTTTCCGCATTCTTCTTTCTTGGACACTATTCACAACTATGTCACGTACTGTGACATACGGTGTTTTAGCCATCTCGGACGTTGATATTATGGCTCCACTTGCCCTAGATGTCGATTTAAGAAACATTTAAAATTATAATTTTTGCAGGAACAGGCAAATGTATCCGAGTCTTTGGTCCATTTCTACCAAATTGTAGTAAAATGTATATACCTTGATAAAAATGACACACTGAGTGTTGAAAAACAATTGAATAACAGTAAGTACAACTGACAGCATACTCTGATGTCACCGACCCCCACAAATCAATTGTTTCCGAAAAAACTCGATTTATTAAGTTTAGCAGATGTCTAAAATTCAAAGGAACTATTTATTAATTTAAATTTATAATTTAGCAGGTCGTGTGATCCAAAACATAAATATGCTACATGTTGATCAATCAACGTAATAATTTTTCGCGGAAATAATACGGGATGTTTTATTTATTATTTAAACATCACAACTACTTCTTATAATTTGACTACCTACCTAATATGAATGAATTCCATTCCAAAATCAAAGCATAAAAGTTGTAAAAACGGTATATCGGTTGGAGAACTCTACGAACGAATTGGTATTCAATGTTTCGTTTTGCAAGCTGGGCAACTATTTGCTCTACAGTTATTTGTAAAAAAAAATTTTTTTTTTTTGGATCTGCAGCCGAAACTGTTTCATAGAAAATTTGCGCCCATTGCAAATGGACTGTGATTCTAGTGGGTCGACTAATAAACAAAAAAGTTATTGCGAAAAATATTACTTTAATATCGGAACATTCTCTACGGGATCCAACACATTGCTTTCTGTCTTGCAAGTAAGAAGTGAAATGTTTATCCAATGAATGATATGGTGATGTCAACCTAAATAATACTTATTAATTCTGGAGCGTTAGCACTATTTGCTGACCTAACATTTGCTTTAAATTTACTTCGCAATATAGACTTTGCCGATAAAGGTCTAACCTCGATATCGAGTCAAACTAGACAGAATTGGTGTTAAAAACAACCTTAACACTTATTTGTCATGACTCTCGCGAGATGTATTTGATAGAAATTCAACTGGTCTAATATCTGTTAGAAGAATCCTTTGTTTTTCAAAAAGAGTAAAATGCTGAGCGGCCTGTTTCTAGGGCTTTTTAATGGAATATTGTTCTAATTTTTGAAATGGCGATAGAAGGCACTTGAAACAATTACATTTATACCTCTGTCAAAAACATTTTCAATGCGATTTTAATGCCCAATAATCTTTCGGCCATATTATTGAAAGTCGATGCATTTTTGATATTACGCAATTAAACATGTTCGATGTCTTCTCAAAGCAATGTATTTCCCCCCCTTCTCCGAAAGCGGGTGGCACGACGCCGCCGCCGCCGCCGCCGCCTCCATAGCGTCGTCGTTTTTCGCCGTCTGTTGATTAATGTAATTTTCATTTATTACATTACCCGGCCAAGTGCGGAGGAAAAACTTAACTACGGCGAGCTCTTAGCAAAAAGCCAACACGAAACAAATGGCAGACGACGCATCTGAAATTCTAAGCAGCCATTACTTTCTATTTTACCGATTCGAGCGGATTTTTTTTTTGTACCGCATTCGCATTAAAATCAGAAGTGGGATTTCATTTTCGCAACATCCAAATCCCAAACGGGCGATAAAACCGGACCGCGTTCATAATCAAAAGGCACCCCCGCCTCCCGCGCGGCGGTGTAATCACCCCACCGGAACGGCGGCGTTGAATCAAAATTAACGGCAAGTGTCCAGGAATATAGTCGGGGCAACTTGTTTTCGCATAATCCGCCTATTGTGTATCGGGGAAAACCCGTAATCTTGCAGTATTTTTCGACGGGGGACGCCATGCGTCATATGGCCTAATGGAAATTTATCGAAGTCGATTTATAAGTTAATTTAGAGGAGTCGATGTAATTCCAAATCCGGGGTACAGTTTTCAAAAAAAAAACAAGATAAATGATGGATCTGACTTCGGGGGATATCTCTCTCTATCTAGTTATCAGAACTAAACCTAAATCCGTGGTTATGTATGTTTATATCAGTAAGTTTCTGGTTGCTCTGAGGAATAAGCAACTATACCATAACTTCTCGCCCTTGAGCCACGAACTCGCTCTATGAGCCTCAGTATTTTATTCCTTTCACCTCGTCATATGTGACATATGTGAAAATCGCAGAACGACCTTATCCCCTTCAAAATACTCTCCATTACAACTAATACATTTGTTCCAGTGGTGTTTCCACTGTTCGAAACATTTTTTTATATTCATCTTTGGCTATAGCCGACAGCTCATCCCTCGTTTTTTTCTTGACCTCTTCAATGTTGTCAAATCGCTGTCCTGTCATGTCCCTTTTCATACGTGGAAATAAGAAAAAGTCACACGGAGCGAGATCAGGCGAGTAAGGTGCATGGGACAGAGGAACCATGCCAAAAACTGTAAAAACAGAAATGGCTGTGTGTGCAGGTGCATTATCGTAGTGAAAGAACCAGGGGACTGGTCCGCCACAAATCGGGTGTTTTTTGTCGAATACTGTTGCGCAGTATTCTTAAAACTTCCAGATAAAAAGCTTGATTAACGGACAAACTCTGCATGAACTACGCCGTTGATGTCGAAAAAGCAAATCAGCATCGTTTTGATGTTTGATTTGACCTGACGACATTTTTTTGGAAGGGGAGACAGTGACGCCTTCCATTGGCTGGACTGTTGCTTCGTTTCTCGATCGTAACCATAGCACCATGACTCGTCACCAGTAATGATCTTTGAAAGAAAATCTGGATCCGCTTCAAGCTGTTGATTCAAAACACGACATGTTTCAACTCGTTGTCCTTTTTGCATGTCAGTCAGAACACGAGGAACAAACTTGGCAGCAACTCTTTTCATTCCCAAATCTTCGGTTAAAATTCGCTGAACCGTGTTCCAAGACAACCCACTAATAATTGTTCAATTGTCTGTCGACGGTCTGTGATCACAATATTTTCGTCGATTCGAGCAGTTGATGGACGTCCAGAACGAGGTCGGTCATCAATTGACTCGTCGCCATTTTTGAAGCGAACAAACCCCTGGTACACTTGGGTTTTTCCCATCGCATAGTCTTTATAAGCTGTTTTTAACATCGAAACAGTTTCAGCAGCACCTTTACCGAGCAGAAAACAAAATTTCACAGCTGCACGTGGTTCTTTTAAATTTGCCATCGAAAAAAGCGAAATAACAAAAAAAAAAACAGCGTTAACAGAAAATGGCACTGCAAGTGAACAAAACAAGTTAAATTTAAAACGAAGGTGGCGTTGAACCCGCAATAAGTTGTACTATCCACAACCTAGCGGCAGAAAGGTGTACTATACAAGCTCTACCCGCGGCAATTCAATTCCGGTTTTTTATGGGTACCTCCTCGTATATGTCGGGTTAAGGATTATTTTTAATTGAACATATAACTGTGCTCGTACAGAAAAGTGTACTGAACTTCGTTGACGTTCGCAACTTTGAGCAACGTTGTGCATAAAGATCTTCATCTTCATGCTATTACGTGGTCAAGCGGTATCATCATGTTCACACATGGAAGCCTTGCTGCCTGATATATTTCTATTTAATATAAGAGTTGCTTTCTGGACTGTAATAATTATTACCAATTTAGACCTGAAGATACACAGTTTGGAGTCTTATGTATTACAAATACGTGGATCGATCTGAAAGAATCCAAATAAAGTTCATTGATGTTCTAAATTTTAGTGTCAATAGACACTCGCTTGCATTCACTGAAATGAAGAAGATTGTGTTGGTGACCCTTTTGTTACACTGTTAGTCTTGTGTATTAGTGTCTCGATTTTTACAAGGCTTTACTAGAAACTTTTACTTCGCGTCTCATCGGCTTTATTATTTGTCTTTAGCGTTATTATCTGTTTATATAAACAACCTTTCCTTGTACTGCAATGTAATGTAATTTGTTTTTTGTAGTTGACATTTCCCTATAATTCGGCTACTCCAGGGAGTCTATTACATGTTATGTAAACAAATAAATATTTTATTATTAATATTCTATACAGTGTGTTTTTATTAGTGGAATTTTCGCACCCAAAATGACCCATTGAACGGTTGTAAGAAAAAATCCGGTAATTTATTTATTTATTACAAGTTTGGGTCGCTTACAGTACTTAGTACCAAAAAAAAATAGCAACCACAATGTTAGTTCAAATAGGTGGATTTATACAAAACAAACATAAGTCGGATTTAGAACATTATACAGAAAGAGGAAGATATTTAACACTCATACACTGCTAAGTCACACTATAAGTCCTAATAATGGAATATTTGATATATCGTTTAAACTGCATCTGAGACATTGAAGAGGTGTCGAGGTTAAAATTCATTAATTAAGTAATTGCTCAAATGTACCAAACTTTTCTATCCACACTGCATTTTTTTTTACTTAAGAATAATAATCCGCATTGCCGGCGCCATTATTCCGTGGTTGTTAAATTAGACATTTGGGGTGCGCCTTGGCAAATCACCTATAAACAATTTCAAAAATCTCTTTCGGTTCCACGACAAACGTTGATTTTGTATTTCGTTTCGTTCCAGTGGGTAGAGGAGTCGTTCACCAACTTCCAAAAGGGCATTAATTGGCGATCGTATGTCGTCTGCGACGTCGCCTACAGCAACGCCAATAACTGGCTGTGGACGCCGTTCATCGATAGGGGGGAGGCAAACAGGATTTATATAGAAATTAAATTTACCATCAGGGACTGCAGCCTGTTCCCAGGTACGTATATACGGCGCGTCAGAGTACAAGCCATTTTGTTTGTCTTAACTTTGGGACCGGGCGGTTGAATATTCATGAGCTTAATTAGAGATTTCGCCGAGGAAAACACAAAACAAATAGACTTTGTCGATTAGGGTTTAGGCGCCTTAACCTCGGGATCCAGTCAAATTCGTTAGGGTTATAAAAAAAAGGACCCGTGCTAAAATCCACTACGCTTTTCCAACCCTCCAGGCCATAAGTCAAATGCAGACTACGATCTTCGTAGAAGTTAAATTTCAAAAAACACTAAATAAGAATTAGTTATAAATATTAAATATGATTAGTATCATCTTCAAATCAATCCATCCAAGTCGGTTGTCGGTTGTTGATGAATCGAACTTGCTGACGTTCCACCAACCATCCTATTGGCTTCTTCTACTTCCTCGCGAGCTCTGAAAAAGTCAGCAGGGTGATTGGCGAAACATCAGCAAGTCCGATTTGTCAATAACTGACGCAGAAGGAATCCAGAAAATTTGTTGATGGTACGATCGATCTCATTTAAAAACTCATGTAAAAATTCAGGTCTTATCATTGATGGGAATTTAAGTTTTAAAGAACAGATTAAGTTATACCAAAAAATTGAGTTTATTCTATGTCAAACTTTAAGATAATTTAGTCACAATGTCCACTAAAATGTCAAGTGAAATGAAAAATTTAATATCATATCGTACGGATGTTCATGTTTACCATGGAGCTTTTACAATGTATTTATTTGGATGATCACTGATTCCATGGCAAAACATCTTTCTTTTTGCTTGATTTTCTTAGCACTTCTCTCGTTTTATTCTTTTCTCCCTCTTTCTAATTCTTGTGTCTCTTTGGTTGAGCCATTAATGTTATTGTTTTAAGTTTAGTAGGATTCAACATCACCTTGCTTCGGAAGGTGGCATTATTCTTTCTGAACATCGTTTATATTTGGTCTGGCGACAAGGACCTTATGTAATTCGTGGCATTCTTTTAAAAATCAATGCAGACGGATTTATGGTTCGAGCTTTTAACTGTAATTTTTAGTTTCATTTTGTTACCGACCAATCATACTTATTCTAGAGATTATTTCACTGTGTTCGATGACAGCAGATGCTTCGATTACAAAAGATTATATTCACTATCAAATGTTAACAAATTACAAAGGAGACTCGCATTTTCTAAAGTATATCAATATCAATATCAAGATGAAGCAGATAGTCTATGTATAATGCTCTCTGAAGATAACGTAGACCTGGAAAATGAACGCAATTAACCTCGATTAGTTAATGGAATCGTATTATAGGTTATATAGTTATAATATATTGTAGGTGAAAATACCGAAGGCATTACGTCGATAGCCGTCAGACTCCTCATACCGTCGATGATGCATTGCCTTCGCAAAAATATCTCTTTTAAAAAATGACCTTATATGCATACGTACGTGTGTGCCCGCCCCGAAGACCTCGCTGGTACGAAGAGAGATCGTTATCGACGCTTATTATTTATCCGTTTTAATATACTGGGACGGGTTATGAAAATTATGACTAAATTGTATAATTTAAAATAATCGGGTGTACGATTTATCAGAATGCGGACAAGGCTTTTACGGGAGAAAGAGAGATATTATCCAATTTGCGTCTTGTGCATTCCTCCACGGTTATACAGGGTAAAACAATTCATCGGCCACCGAGATGGCGAATTAGTTAGGTTACGGTATGTTGAAAGGGGCACTTGGAATTTCATTTTCTCATTTGATATTCTCGGACCTTGTTTGACCCCCGAATCTGGTTTAGTCAGGCGGATTGCTTGTGTTGACGGAAAAATCTTCTGGGTTATTGGAAAACTTAATTTTTCTTTCAGCAGAGATTCTCTTCCTACTCACCAAATCTCGCTCGTACTGTTCTTATTCAGGAAAAATTTTCCTTTTAAATTTCATACTTATTTCATATTTTTTTAGAATTTGCCGCCATGGCATTGGTCATGAGACTAATATAAAAGTGTTTATGAATCTGTTTGTAAATCTACAGTACAAATTAATTTTGTTTAAAATAGAATTTATCATTTCAACGAAATCGTCGAGGTACTCCATTTTTGTACTAAATCTTCCAACTGATCTTCAGAGCTTCATCTTAAAACTGCTGCTCAGAAACAAGTGTTGCAGATCGATCAAGACTCACACTATCGCGCATGCGGATTAGCTTTATGGACTTCGAATAGAATACGTTCCTAAATATCAAATAAGGTTTACTAACATCATACAGATAAGCAATAATCTTAACTTAAACTTAACTGGGTTTTCAATATGTACGCTGAAACAATATTACACTTTTCAATTGTGGTGAAGAACTGGGCAAGGGGTTTGGAATTTAATAGACCAACTGTGACGAAGCTGCTGAGGCAGGTCGACCAAAAGCGCTTGTTTTCAAATAGGAAGGAGCTAGGAAAAATCAAAAGTGGTGTTTTTCCAGTAGAACGCATCTACTAACAAGAACTATGTTGCCATGGTCTTCGTTCATAATTCAGGCTTTGAAATTATTGAGCAAGAACTCTCCCGATTTGGCTTCTAGTGACTCCAGACGCGATTGCAGTCCAAATCAAAAGATTTTTTCGAATGACGTTCCAGCCCTTAGTTATCTTTATTCCGAAACCAAGTTGATAAATGGAAGAAAATATTTTTTTGTAATTTTTTTGTTTTTTATTTAAGCCCGAGGTAAAACTAATAGGACGATCATTGTATTGTGTTATTCGTCGTTTTTAAAGCCTTTACTACATCTCTGTTGACGCTGACTCAAATATGTATAAACCATCAAGTACCTGTAAAAAATACGATCTCTCAACTGATGGACATTCTAGGTTAAAGATATCTCCACTGTTAAATGCACTAAATAAAAGAAAATAACTAAAACTAGAGTAAATGAGCCTTGCATTTTTGATGAACAAACAAAAATTTACTGTTTATTTTAGGGTAATCGCTCCAGCTTCTTCCGTTAGTGATATTGTAAGCTTGCCAATTCCAAAAAATTGGATAACGATAGAAATAAAAAATGCTTCGATTGGCATAGCTTGCTTATAATTTAATAATTTATTTATTTAATATTTAATAATTTATTCCATTCCCGCGTTTTATTTATTCGATTACCGTGCAGATATATTTAATACCTAACTTACCGGTAATTATGCAATCACACTTTTTCCGCACACGATTATATATATTTATCAATTTATTACGCGTAATCTGATCAACGATATGCCGCGATATTTCACGGGTCAGCGATTATTAATTTCTTGCCGTTTTTTTTTTTTAATTATCCGCGGAGCCAGATGAATAAATGCGACGAATAAATGAATGGTAGAAAAGTGAGGCAAATTTTACAATAAAAAAAGGCTGCTAGTATTTTGTTTCCTTTTGCTCATTTTTATTTTTTTTATATTGCTCATACTTTATTTATTTTTAGATTACTAGCGTAATACACTTTCGTAACTGCCACAAAAAGGCAATACACAGTTTTTTTATTGAGAATTCTACGTTGTTTTTAATATTATCAATTTGATGGTGATTTTTAAATATCACCGATGAGCATTTATTACGATCTTTTTTACCATTATTATACATATACGATATACGTTTTTTTCGATTGCCATTATTATTTAAATATATATTCTCCGTTCATTCAACTGAGCACCTTCGATGATTGCTGTATTTAAATCTACAACAGTCGTTTGCGGTCTGATCTGGCCAACGGCGGCTTGCCTTTGTATTCCAATTTCTTATACTGGCTGTCTTTGGACTCCGGGCTTCCTGTTTACACCCTAGAAGTTGGAATGTATAATAATAATAATAATAATAGCTGGGGACTTTAACGGAAGGACGGGAAATAAAGCACATAACAAAACAGTAGGCCAATTCGGGGAGGACACAATTAATGACAATGGTGAAAGATTAATTGAAATTTGCGAATTAAACGACTTAAAAATTACCAACGGCTTCTATAAACATAAAGACATCCACAAATACACCTGGATACAAGAAACTAGGAATCTAAGATCCATAATAGATTACATAGTTGTTAGGATAACTACAACAATTAAGATACAGGATGTAAGAGTTAAAAGAAGCGCTGAATGTGGAACCGATCATCGACTAGTAGTTGCGTACATGCACTTTCCTTGGTATGGAGTAGCAAAGAAAAACAAAGAAGAGATAGCAAAACAAGAACAACAAAAAGACAACCAAAACAACCAGGAAATAAAAGAGAAAAGATTTAAAATTCACCTCCTAGAGGAAGAAACAATAAGAGATTTGTACAGACGTAGACTTGATGAAAAACTAATAGAGTTCAATTTTAATAATTTAACAGACACTTACGAACACGTGAAGAAGAGCATTAAAGAGGCAGCTTATGAAGCATTAGGAGAGGAAGACGGAAAGAACAAAAAATATACAGAAGAACTTAGTGAGGAAGCTATTGCAGCTATTCAGGAAAAAAAGCGCTTACACCAAAAATGGCTCTGTACAAATTCGGGAGAAGACCTACAGAAATATAAGGACAACAAAAAAACAGAGAAACAAAAAAACTAATTAGTAAAGAAAAAAATGAAAAATGGGATAGACTCTGCCAAAACATACAACAGTATACAAGAGGTACAAGATGCTCGGAATCATGGAGAACAATAAGATCTGTCAGATCAAATACCAAAGAGAAAGTCAATATACAGTTTACCAAAGAAACCGAATGGGAAAATTATTATCAACAACTACTAACGGAGACACGACCACAATTCTGGCAACAACTAACATACCAAATACAACCTAACAACAATCTAAAGCATGTAACAATAGAAGAAAAAGAAATAATAAAAGCCATTAAAGAATTAAAAAACAAAAAATCACCAGGGCCAGGGGGGATAGTGAATGAACTTATTAAGTATGGGTCGGACAAATTATTCAGAATATTGAAAAACATGTTTGAAAGAGCAATAAATGGAGAAACGTTACCAAGGGAGTGGAATACGGCATATATAAGCTCTATTTTCAAGAAGGGGGATCGTAGGAAGTGTACCAACTACAGAGGAATTAGCATTATATCAAGCATGGGAAGACTATATGGAAAGATAATCAAAAACAAAATAGAAGACCAGATAATAGGGAAAATAGGTGAAGATCAAGCCGGTTTCACGGCAGGGAAGTCATGCGTTGATCAGATATATACGGTAAGGCAGACTATCGAAAAGAAAAAAGCTAAAAACAGAGACATCCATTTAGCATTCATAGATATAGGAAAAGCTTATGACTCTATACCCAGACAACAACTTTGGAAAGCAATGGAAGATATTGGGATAGAAAGAGAACTAATAAAAGCCGTAGATACAATGTACAAGAACAACGAGTTGTCGGTTAAAATAGGTAATAGGTACACAAATCGATTCACAACATCAAAGGGCCTACTACAAGGATGCCCTACATCAACAACGTTGTTTAAAATCTATCTTGAGAGGACGCTAACACAATGGAAAAGAAAATGTCAAGGTATGGGAGTCCTAGTACGCGACGACCACTTATACACCCTAAGCTTTGCCGACGACCAGGTGGTCATAGCCCAGGATGAAGACGACTTGAGTTACATGCTCAGAAAGCTGAAAGAGGAATATGAGAAGGTAGGTTTGGAAATAAACTTCGAAAAGACAGAATATCTAACAACAAAAGAAGGGGAAATCGAAGATTTAGAAATAGATGAAAACACAACCGTAAAAGCAACAGACAAATTTAAATACTTAGGGTGTATAATAACAAAAGATGGATCAACAGAAGAAGAAATCAAATCTAGACTAGGTCAGGGTAGAACATGTATAAAACAACTGAACTCCATTATATGGAACAAGAAATTAACAAAGAAAACAAAAACAACAATATTTAAGACAATAGTAGAAAGTATAATTACATACGGAGCAGAAACCTGGCTATTGAACAAAAAGAACAAATCTAAAGTAACCGCCGTCGAAATGGAATATTGGAGAAGGTGTTGCCAACGAACACGCATGGATAGAATACGTAACGCAGAAATCAAGAGGCAAATGAATGTAGAAAAAGACTTATTAACTACAATAGCAGAAAAACAGCTTAAATGGTATGGTCATGTTAGACGAAGTGACGATAGACGGTGGATAAAGAAAATCACAGAGTGGAGCCCTATGGGACGTAGAAAGAGAGGAAGACCCAGAAGGTTGTGGAGGGATGAAATAGATGAAGCCATGGAGGAAAGGGGGTTGGAAGACGGAGATTGGAATGACAAAGATGAATGGAGAGTCTGGTTGAGAGAGGGAAAACGGCGCGAGCTGTAACAAACCCCATATATATATATATATATATATATATATATATATATATATATATATATATATATATATATATATATATATATATATATATATATATATATATATATATATATATATATATATATATATATATATATATATATATAAGTTGGAATGTTCTATTAAGGTCGATGAGTTTCTTGCGAATAAACTTCGATGTAATTTGGCTTCAATGGTTTAATAAAAATTAATAGATATTTGGTGCCTGTTTACTGATTATTCGTCCAAAAAATACTTAGAACTAATAAAAATCACAGTCATTTCGACAAGCCAGAACTCGAAGAACCTGTTCAATTAGAGAAGATTCCTCAACATCTACCAAACTTATTTACGTCATGATTCAAATATTTAAGGTGATAGTAACTTTTCACGTTCACTTTTCATGCATTTGGCACACTCTTTTCTGAACTTTTCTTTACCATCAGTATTGATAAACCTACAGAATCAAAAATCTGTTTCTAATAAGATCTGCAATATGCAAGATTGTCAGAACTAACACTTCTAAAGAGGTTATAATAACAAAAATAACGCCAATCTGAATTTGCTCTGGTTATAGAGAATATAATTAAAATATCCAAATCTGCGGAAAGAGTTCCTGCGCTTCTGACGCAGGTCTCGCCTCGACATGTCCAAATAATAAATCCGTTCGTGTTTTCTTTCGCAGGAAATGCGCTGTCATGCAAGGAGACGTTCAGCCTGCTGTATTACGAGTTTGACGCCGCGACGCGAGAGCCGCCGCCCTGGGACGCCGAAAGATACAAGTTAATTGGTGAGCGTGGAATTATTTTTCTTTTATACGACTAGGAAAAGTTGGTGTCGGTTAAGATTACTCCCGTCCCGCGTTGTTGCGGTAAATAAATTGTTTTCATATTAGTTTCGAATGTTTGGAGTGCGCGTCAATTGGTCGTTACTTTTTTTTACACGTGGTTAGTGTTGTTTAGTTTCTGTTATTCTGTTATTGAGTTCTATCATTTAAAAATACATACATCTGCGTTTTGAGATTATATTATATATATTATATATATATATATATTATTTCTTTGGAAAAATAAAAAATTGAAGCAGGGTGTCGAAGAACATTAAAAATTGGTTGTTAAGGGGAATACGGTTATTGAATATTTTCCGAAACTGATCACATCGATTTGAAAAAAAGAATAAAATCAGATATTTTTGAAGGAAATGTTGCCCCAAGTTAATGAAACTTAATATATGTAAGGAATAGTAAACTCGTATTCAACCATAAACAAAATTAAATGCATTCTAATAAACGTGACAGTAAGGGGTGTTTTTTTTTCGATGTATAGAACTTTAAGTTGCAATAAAACAACGATGGATTATTCGATTGACATGAATTTAATTTATCCGAGAGATAATCTTGTGGCATTACATTTTAAATATGATTTCTGGCATATGACCGCCGCGGCTGGCGCGGATCTAATCCAATCTGGACGTCCAATTTTCGATGACTTATTCCAACATTTGTGGCCGTATATCGGCAATAAGACGGCGAATGTTGTCTTCAAAATGGTCCAGCGTTTGTGGCTTATCCGCATAGACCAATGACTTTACATAGCCCCACAGAAAGTAGTCTAGCGGTGTTGAATCACAAGATCTTGGAGGCCAATTCACAGGTCCAAAACGTGAAATTAGGCGGCCACCAAACGTGTCTTTCAATAAATCGATTGTGGCACGAGCTGTGTGATATGTTGCGCCGTCTTGTTGAAACCACATCTCCTGGATATCATGGTCATTCAATTCAGGAATGAAAGAGTTAGTAATCATAGCTCTATACCGATCACAATTGACTGTAACGTACTGGCCATCATCATTTTTGAAGAAGTACGGACCAATGATTCCACCAGCCCATAAAGCGCACCAGTCAGTTTTTCTGGATGTAACGGTGTTTCGACATACACTTGAGGATTTTGTTTTGTTTGTTGACGTAGCCATTCAACCAGAAGTGCGATCTCGTTTTGGGCCCATTCGACGAATCTACGCCTTACTTGATGATCGTTTGGCTTCAATTCTTGCACGAGTTGGATTTTTTAAGCACGTAAACCAAGATCCTTCCGCAAAATCTTCCATAAAGTGGATGGACACAGATCCAATTCCTGTGCTCGATGGCGGATGGACTCATTCGGGTCTTCCTCAATGCTACGCTCTACAGCAGCAATAGCTTCTTCTGTACGCACCGTACGGCGTCTCTGGGGATGCGAGTTATCATTAGGGGTGAACGTGGTGCGAAAACGTTCCACGGTTAATCGAATTAACTGCTCTGATGGACGATGTTGTCGACGATAAAATGGACGTAGTGCGCGATTCGTATTCCGTACAGAATTCATAATTTTTTCTTGCATGTGTAATTATTATGCCAATTGGACATTAATTTAAAAATTTAACGTTACCAAGTGACTATTATTTATTCATCATATAATAATCATTTATGGATGGCATAATCATAACCCTCCATCCAAAATACATCAAGCAAATTTTAAAGTTATTTTACTGACGCCAGTGTCAGTCGGCAACGAGCTGATACAGAGATTTTACCGCGTATAACCGTTTAAATTCTGTTTTCATCCCAACAAACTGTTCCTACCCACTTTTATAATAATAAATACCGTCTGCTTGAGTGCGGGTTGTTACTCTAAGTAAGCGAGTGTAACAACACCCATTTCTTCTAAAATGCTGTTTTTATTTACAAAATTTAGTTGAAAAATGTTACCTAACCAGACCAAGTACTTGAAAAACTGAAAAAAAAATTATCTTGTAATTAGTTTTCTGTGCGCATGTGACAACATGGCCTACTAATTTAATAATTTTTGGATTTTGAAGACAAAAATCGTCACCGCTGTGAACACATCGCACTGTACATTAAGGAACGCTACACGATATGATCTCTTGAGATTTGTTCGACTGTGCTCATTAAATGTAATTAAGGTTTTACAATAGAGACGATAAAATAATGATGATTGATTAAGATCGCGCCATCGGGTCAGGGGGCTTGAGAAGTGTTGTTCATGGCAGTTAATCGTGTTCAATTGGCGGAATTAATAAACGCGGAAGGTACCAAATTACACTCGCCGCGTCGTCAGTAGAGTATATTCGATTGCGTATTTTTGCGTAAGCTTCTCTAACCAGTAGCAATTTTATCAATTCATTAGCAACTAACTGGCTAACGTTTGCAGAGCAAAGGCCATGGTTTTTGTTGAATTCATTCATTTATTTATCCCGCGAACTCGAATCCCAAAGTGCACAGAAGAAAGCAACGTGTTTGCGCGTTTGCTAGTTGCTTGATTTGTCTTTATTCCTCCATATTCCATGTTAATTGCGAGTCAGCTTAGTATATCCGTGATTATGTTATCTGCCTATCCTTTTAGTTACTCATACTTACTCTTCAATACTATATTCGCATCCCTCGAACTTTGAGTCAGCATTTTCATAGAATATAAGTATTTTTCTTTGCTTTTCTTTTTTTCCTTAAAGTTAGTATATTATAACTGAACACTTTATTTTTAGATTTTGTATATCTTTCTTTAGTTTATGCAGCAGATCTACTTTAATTTTTTTATGGGCTTGACCCATGAATAAATAAATAGGTAAATATTAATTAAATAATATTTGCAAACATCTGATGCGCACTTAATCCGAGACGGCCGGCATCCTCGGAAAAGTTGCTACGGCGAGGGGGCGAGGGCGCTTCCTTTTTGAAATTTATACGGTGTCAGGCGTATATCTAGTTATCTGAAAGATTTTCCGCTACCTCTCGCTCCGGATAAAATTGATAAATTTCCCTTCCGCTCGCTGTCTGTTTTCCTAGTTTTATCGCTGACTCGGTCGAAAGTATTTTCCATTTCGAGACGGTGTTATTTGCCCAACGAAAACTGACTCGAATGTTTTATTAGGTTGCCCCCTTTGTGCTGGGGCTCGCAGCGCCCGAGCATCACGTCCGCGTAGGAAATTATCAATTATTATTGACCGCTCCGAGCTCGATAAGTCCGTTCGCTAGCATCGAACTATTTTCGTCAGATTTTCATTTTACAGCTTTGCCATAACATCCGCTTTTTTCAGATAATCGTCCATGGGGTTAAGTATTAATATCGATTACTATGAAGTAATAATAAAGTATCACTGTTACCTATAACGAGAAATATTGTTCCTATTTGCCTATTTTTTTTTCCCGTGGCCGTATCACCATCCAGGTAACATTTGAGAGGTATGCGCCGCTCAGCTACAGCCGGAGCGGGAGTGGGTAAATTCACGATTTAAGTACCAACTTATAAAGAGTATTATTTTTTTTTTTTTATAGGGCGCCAGGTGATTTCTTTACTTATATACCCCTAAAAACACTGACATCACCAAACCTAATTCGCACTGGTGACATTAGCTACGGTTATTACAAAGAAAAAGGAACAAAAACACTCCATGACATTCAGTTATTCGATTTAATGTCGAAATGGGGGGAAGAGTTATCCGCCGCACTGGGATCGGTATACAAGATCGCAATATGTAATTACATTAAACAACTTTACACGTTTTATTTTCCTACAGCGTAAATAATCTCTCGAGAGTATAGACGAGTATAAAAAGAGGGTAACCCCTTAACGACAAAAAAAAAGGAACCGTCAATAACCTCTTTTCAACTCATCGTTCAGGTAATATCTTAGATGTACAAACAAAATTATAGAATTCGCAATAAAACTTAAGTTGGGCACTACACCAGTCCTTTTTGTCGAATCGTTTTATTTCCTTTTACGTGTAAGCGAAAATAAAAAAAAACAAATTCCACTACGTGGTACTTATCTGGAGTACGGACGTCGGTGTAGAACTCTCAGGTTAATTCCGAAGATTTCCGAAACTAAGGCGTTTGCTCTTCCCAATTTTCCGGATGTTCTAGGCGTACTATTATATCAACCAATACATGGCCTTTTCCGGATAAATAGCAACCTTCTGTTTCTCGTATCCGTCCGGGACCACAAAAAGCAAATTGCCAAAAAAAAAAGAAAAACGCCTAAGAATGGAAAAGAAAAAAAATCAAGAAGTGATACGAATTGATAAAGATTCTACAACTACAATTTTATTTTTTATTGGTTTTTGATTTCAAGTAATTTATCTTATTTATCTCAAGAGTTTAAATTTTGAAAGTAAATCATTATGCTTTTACTGTAAATGAAATTGACCTTTTTTTTTTTCCTTTATAAATGAGTTAAAATAAATTGTCCAAAAAAAAAAACGATCAGAACAACTACCGAGAACTACGCACACAATAAAAAGAGAACTTACCTCGTATCAGCACAAAAAACAAACCCAAAACACGAGACGTTTCTCTACAAAACCCAATATCTATTCAAGATAAGCTTTGGAACTTCTTAAAACAACCAGAGTACCACAAAAGTCGCCAAAGCGGGATGCAAAGTGAAAAATCCGTAAAACGCCAGAATAACTTTTCTGTTCACTAAGCAACCTAGTTATGACTCGTGCAAAATTTAAGAGCGATCACCGCGGTCACGGCTTATCGCGCTGCCTTTTTTTCTCTCGGTGCGTCGTTACTTTTTTTCCACGCTTTCGTATTTTGCCATCAACATGAGTTTACCGGGTGTCTCAAATTTCAAACGTAACATCACGTAAGAGATATTTATTTATATTTTGCACTATACCTACAGCCCAATCTTGAAGAGTTGGAAAAAACTTTAAATTCACAAGAATATCAAAAAATGCAAATCTCAAATCAGTCGAAATTACATAACTTGCATTCTCCTAAATATAACC